CTATGATAAAATGGATTCAAAATCTTATAATGCCTATTAGTTATGGTATAGCAGAACTTTTCTAGATCTCCGGCAATTTTTTTTCTCTCTTTGTTCATATACTTTAAGTAAAACTATTTTAAAAATCTGAGGCCTGGGAGGCTTGGGGCTGACATAATGCAACATGACATGACATCAGCCCAAAGGCATTCCAGGAAATGCAGCTGACAGGAATTTGGGAAGATAACCTCATACTGCTGTGTAACATGTTATGCTCAATAAATATGAATATTAAACTTTCATGAATAAAGCAGGAAAGCTGTCTGTTGCCAAAGTCTGCACAAATTGTTAAGAAAGCATACTGAAAAGGCAGGGATGCTGCTGGTGGCCTGGACGATCTTTATTCAGCTTGGAAAAAGCCGAGCCTTGATCGAACTCTAACCTCTCCCCCCCCACACACACACACTTCCTGCTGGCATGGAAATGTATTTATTAATTTATTTATTTATTTATTTATTTATTTATTTATTTATTTATTTTGTATGCTGCCTATCTCCCAGAAAGGATCGAAGGCAGCTCACAGACACATGGTTGCACTGATTGAGATTAATCAGTGATTAACTGTCTTATTTACCTCCGTAGAATGGAAACATGTAGAATTGGCTTAGATTAGTACAATTGTGAGGTATCCTGTAGCTTTCAAAGAGGTTGTCCAACACATCTATATTTCAAAGAGGGTTAAATATCTATACTTGATTGGATTTTTGATGGTGTATGCAACTCCATGATGTCTGTATGCCCAGACCACTTGAGTCATTATTGGAATCTGAAGGGTATGTTCAGCTCTGCCTTTCTGCAAGCATATATTGAGGTCATGTTCTGCCCCCCCCCCCAGAGGTGTTCCTTTCACTTTTTGGAGACTGCCCCTAAATTAGGAAGAGGTTCAAAATAAATCTGGGCAGGAAAGAAACCTCGGGTTACAATGAAATTCTTTCAATATGAGGTTTTGGAGTGCCACATTTAAGATTATGCTGCAACTGCTGCCTAGAGTGGTCAAGGGTGTGGATGTGACTGAACAACAGAAGACTTTTACAACTGGAGGCAACAGGAAATCAATTTGGATGGCACACCTTTTATTCTATGACAAATTAAAAGTGAACCATGAGTTCAATAACCATGTCCTAAGAAAAGCTATATTTAGAGTATGGAACAAGTATAAAATGCTTATCAATAGGAATATCTCATTATGGGCTTCACCTATGGAAGCATTCTATTAGACAGAGATGATAATTGAAGAGACTTGGCTAAGATATTCAGATATACTGATTGTAGATCAAAAAGACAATATCAGAATTAAAGTGGAAGAAGAACTAGTGGAAGAAGGTTATATGATGAATTGGTTGAAATATTGACAAATTAAAGAAAGATTCAAAATGGATCAAAAGATACATAGATTTGCAAAAGGACATTCGGACTTGGAAAAGATTCTTCTAACAGAAGAAGATAAATTAATATCAAAACTATACACAATGTTGTTGAATATGGAAATGGAGAATGAACAGATAAAATAGTGCATGATAAAAATGGTCTCAGGAAATTGGTGAGAACATACCATTAAAGGACTGGGAATTGAATTGGCAAAAAAGATTAAAACATGCATTAGAAATAGATTTGAAGGAAAATTATTACAAAATAGAGTGCAGGTGGTATCTGACCACTGAAAGATTAAATAAAATCTATAAAAATACAAGCAACATGTGCTGGAAGTGTCAGAGCAAGAAGGGAACCATGTTACATATGTGGTGGCAGTGTACAAAAGCCAAAAAAAATTCTGGTCACAAATACACAAGGAAATAACAGAAATTCTACAAATTAAATTGAATAAAAGCCCTAAAATATTCTTACTAGGTATGGTAAAAGAAGAAATGGAAAAAAAATAGAAAAAGTCTCTTTTATATAACTGCGGCTAGAATAATTTATGCTAGAAAGTGAAAAGAAAAAGAGATTCCAGATATAAATGAATGGAGAAGGAAGAGCTTAGATTACAGAGAAAATGGTAAACTAAAATAATTACTTAGAAATGCACCTACAGAAAAATTTTAGAAGGAGTGGGGCAGATTGAATGAATATTTATAGAAAACATGACTCTAGTCCATAGATTTACCTTCTAGTTTATTTCTTAGTTTATATATAGTAGAATGAAAAAGTTGCATCAAGAAGTAAGACTTGTAATAGCATTATTTATGTAAGGAAGGTAGAAGAATAAAAAAAAGAAGTTATAAATGATTTCCTGCTTATAAGCAATGTTTAACATCAGTCCATAGGAAAAAGATTTGATTGAGAAGATAGAGATATGGAATCTGAGAACAAGAATAGTATATTATATGGGTGGGGGGGAGGAGAAAATAAAAGGGATATAAGACTTCTAAAAATATGTCTCTGGAGTAGAGGACAAGAAGTATATGTATGTGTAGGTTTGTCCATGAGATGTCATGTCTTGTAATGTTATTCTTTTTCTTTTTAAACACTGGAAATTAAAAAAAGGGGGGAAAGCAAAATACAGAGATCCACAGAGATGCTATCTCTCTTTGACTTGTGCCACTCTTTGACCTGTTTCATTCTCTTTTTTTGACCATCTCCTCTCTCTGACCCCTGCTCCCCTGCTCCAGTTTCCAGTCATCTTCTTTATGTTGGAGGGTGAGAAAATCAGTGTGTATGTTTTACCTAAAGCTTAGTGCTATGCTCCTTAGATTGATTAGGAGAAGGGTTTCAGCTTCCATGATGTCTTTTCCCTCTTTTACTTTGAGAAACAGCTTGCACTGAATATAGACTGGTCTATTGGTTTCTGCTGCTACCTTTTCCTTTCTTTTTAATACAGAAATAATAGTTTTTGCTGAAAAATCTGCTTGTTCTTCTACCTCATTTTCACTTGGAGTCACTCTGATGAAATGTCCATTATTAAAATATTTAGCAGTCAATGACATGCAGAGAGTTAGGACCTAGATAAGTTTTTCCTTCCAGTAAAACCAGTGCACTGCTCTTAAATGCTGGGAGAATTTTTTAAAAATGTATTCATCCCTCCTCTATATAGCCAAGAAATTTTGATTCCAGAATAAGTCAATTGACACATATCACACATGGGAAAAGAACATACTTCAGTGGTCCAACACATGCTTTGCATGCAAAGGATTCCAAATTTGGTCTCTGGCAGCTCCAAGTATGGCTGGACAGGCTGCCATCTGAAATCCTAGATAACATCTGCCTAGTCAGTATAAGCAGTAACTTGAGTAATGTTGTAGCTTGGTATAAGACATAGTCCTATTTTCCTCTCAATTTTTCCTCCCCAAGCTGCTAGTGCAGTGATGGCGAACCTTTTAGGGGTCGAGTGCCCAAACTAAAAGGCCTTCCAGCATCAGGTAGGATGGGACTTCTGCCCTCTGGGCTGGGACTTCTGCCTTCAGTGGTACTTCCAGGGTGGTACTTCTTTCTCACACCTTCCTGGGCCTTCAGCTGCCTCTCCAGAGAGAGCTGAAGGCCCAGGGGGGTGAGGGGGAAAGAAGCGTAACAGGCACACCATCCTGGATCTTCAGCTCCTCCAGAGAGGCAGCTCAAGGCTGGAGAGGATTGGGAAAGAGGAGCAACAGGTGTGCACCTCTTCCTCCTCCTTCCCCTGTGCTGTCCCTGGCCTTCAGCTGCCTCCAGAGAGACAGCAGAAGGCCTGGGACAGCCATAAAGGAGGAGGAACAGGAGCATGCCACTTCCTCCTCCACTCTGCCTTCCACATACTGAGGAAAATGGCTTCACATTCCATCTTTGGCATGCACGCTGTAGGTTTGCCATCATGCTAGTGCATGGTTGTAAGCTATTGCCTTGCATTATCATATTGCTTTGCTACAGGGGTAGGCAACCTTTCCCCTTTAAGGGCCGAGGGACTTCAGCTCCCAGAAGCCTCAGCCATGTTGGCCAATAGTCCCATGTTGGCCAATAGCTCCTGGGATTCTGGGAGCTGAAGTCCCTCGGCCCTTAAAGGGGAAAGGTTGCCTACCCCTGCTTTGCTATCTTGGAAGATAATAGTTCCTTCAACCTATAGGATTACTGACTTTATAGATATGCAATAATGGCTAACTTTACCCATTTTTTTCCTATATAATATGAGCAAGATGAAGTAAGGAAAGAATAAGAACTGAAAACTGAAGAGAACATATGGGACCATAGGGAAATAATATGAGAATTTGATCTCAAACCAATTTGGATGCTGAATACTGGAAGAGCAAATTTCATTTATCAACTTTTATGGTATACTGTAGTAGGATGGATTGGATCCATATTGGTAATTTGAGATTTTACTAAAGTCAATGGAACAATGTAATCATAACCAAGCTTATGTCCCTTTCATTTCAGCAGCAATCAACTGCAACTAGCTTAATTTCAAGTTATTTTCCTGAGGGGAATCCCACACAAAATACTTTTGCCAGTGGATTGCAAATGCAATCTTTCCACAGCCCCATCTCTCAGGTCCTACTGCCATATCGCACACTATTCTAGAGGTCATCACAACCCCACCCCATCCCAAGCCTATGTATGTGGAGATAAGGGATTCTATGTGGAAGCTGTGAATCACCTCCTCCCCTGTTAAATTACTGGCAAAGGACTGCTGGATCAAAAGTATTCCATAGAAAGAGATGGATGTTCAATCCAAAGAAAGAGGACTCTAGGTCAAAGACAGTATGTTTATCACTAAATTAGTTTTCATTTTATTTAAAAATTCTTTCAGTTTTTCCAGTTTATCATGCTTAAAATGAACCCACAAAAATGCTCAGTATTCAATATACTAACATAGTAGAGCAGTTATTTCACTGTGTTGTTGTTTTATGCCTTCAAGTCCTTTCTGCCTTATGATCCCCCTAAGGCAAACTTATCCCGATGGTTTCTTGGCAAGATTTGTTCAGAACAGGTTTATCACTGCCTCCCTCTGAGGCTGAGGGAAAGTGACTTGCCTCAAATCACCCACTGGGTTTCTGTGGCCAACTAGGGATTTGAACCCTGGTCTTCAGAGTCATAGTTCAACATTAAAAGCACTACACCATGCTGGCCCTTTTATTTCAGTGTTACAGTGAAATAATCTGGGGCAAACAGATTCCACATAGTCCATACATTCTTTGAACATATAATTGAAGAAGATACTATAAGGGGAGCAGGAAATAAATTACCAGAGGATTAAATAGCTCTGGGTATTTTAAAAATGTAATAGAAAATAATGTAGGAAATATTGAATAAAATCAGAAGATAAAAGGCAATGGAGAGAAAGGACACAGAAGGAAAATGAAGAAAAAAATCAGAATTAAATTAATATATACCCAAGAGAAAGAATGGCCATCTGGCAATATATGCAATATTGTTGGAGGTTTCTTTTTATGGAGAATAGAAAGGTATTCTCTGGTACAAAAGGAAGAGGGTGGAATATTACCGTGGGAATGAAAAACAAATGATCAAATGAATAGGCATTTGATCAGACAAAAAGTAAGTAAACAAGTATTAGATTGAAACCAAATATTTACAATGGAATTCAATTCAAATTATTTTAGAATATGATATCTCAAATTGCCAGAGTTCACACTGAAAGTAAGCATATGTTCATAATTTTTAAAAATTGTTGCTGATGAATTTGCAGTTATTTGCTTTGTGTTGCTGAATGACTCAAAGCTACAGTTTTCATATCAGAAGAAGCATATAGATATTTCTGTTAGAAACTGAAATACTGAGTAAGTGAAACAGAGAGTTGTTGAAATGTCCAAAGGAAATTATTCACACTATTTTGGTAATCCTTACAATAATGTTCAAATTGGAAAGCTGAGGCAACAATGACTTGTTAAGACCACCAAGTGACATGAGCTAGATCAGGGGTCGGTAACCTTTGTTGCTGGGGCGCTGGAAGGGGGGGGAAATGGCATGGGGGGGCGGGCGGGCATGTGCATGCTTGCGATTGCACGTGCATGACACCCGATGTCGTGCACATGGGTGCGCACATGGGTGCGCCATTTTGGAAGGCCCCAGCCACACCTGTGCAGTGTGAATTCGCATGGCGCAGGCGCGGTGGGGCTTCCATGGGCCTTGGAAAGCTGCTGTGGGTCCTTCCAAAATACCGCCCACCATGCACATGCACGCGTGAGCACAGGTGCCATTTTGGATGCCAAAATGGTGCCCGCACTTGCGCATGGTGTGGCAGTGTGCACGAGGATTTCGCAGTGACAGCAGCAGTGGGACCAGCCACGGGCCAGTCCCAAGGCCACACCCAGCCGACCCCTGAGCTAAATCATTGGGATTTAACTGAGAACTTGGTAGCTCACTCTCTTAACTGATACAACTTTCCAGCAACAACAACAATGATAATTTTCAAAATAGCAAGCTCTCTATGGTTGTATCATGTTATCCTACCATAGAATCCTGCAGGATAGATGAGTAAATTACAGAATTGTGGGTGTTGCTGGAGTGCAGCTTCTAGCATTCCTCCTTACCATTGGCTATTTTGGCTTGGGCTAATGGGACTTGCAGTCCAACAACTTCTGGAAGAGTCACTTTGTCTGAACATGTTAGCTATTTAAAACTCTTTAAGGACCTTATCAAACGCTGGCCACGAAGCGAAAAGTAACAGAA